CTTATAAATAGAATCACTATTTGTGAGCTAGAACACGAGTTTGAACACCCTGAAATACACCAAAACTCTCTGAAATCAGAAATTGCCCAAAAAAACTCCATTATTGCACAATTTCTGACCTTGAACCTCAAACTCACATTTCCCTCGTGCGTTTCTTGGCCTTTTAGTTTCTAAAGCTTCCTTGCATCAAGAGTAACTCATCCATGTACCTGTTTCACTTCTGTAACACCATTTTTCCTGTCTTCCATAACCAAAAACAAAGTATCACAGTTGGACTTCTCCAGACCATTCCAGCCACCCTCAGCTCAAGTTAACCATTGCATTAGCTTCCTAGAGGTCCAAGGAAGCTAACCTGGTCATCAGCACTGCCTGAAATAAGCTCAAACCCATTTCACGATTTCCAGTTTTGAGGTATTTTTCTTGAACTTCTATCTCATTACTTAGGCATTGTTAGGCTTGCATTTTTGAAGATAAAATGTAGACATCATTGCCCTAAAGTTGTACATGTCCATAGATTTCATTTATTTTGATTGAGCTAGGAGAATTTTGAGTTTGAAATTTCTGAAATATTTAGGTCAGAATTTTGTACTGTTAAAAATTCTCATTCATCTTTGATTTATAGTTTATGATATTTATATGTTTGGATTCGTGTGACAAAATGGAGCAATTTTCATGTTTACATTTTTGCAAATAGTTGAGAAATGAGCAAGTTACAGATCCTTTAGCTAGAGGTTGAAGATGAAGTACAGTCAGGGCGCATTTTGTGTTATGTATTTATTATTTCATACAAGTTAACGGATGTATAGCCACCCCAGTGGTAAAGCGCGCGCCTGTTAACCTATGGGACCTGGGTTCGAGCCATAGTGGTACTCTTTTGCCCATGTTTCATATTTTTGACTTTCTAACATTTTTTTGCAGGCGCTGGGCCCTTTAGGCTTGGTATTGTTTTTTTTTCTAGCTGACCTCCCTGCCTGCTTATGCACCCCTGGCCCAATTTATTTTATTTTCTTATTTTTATTTTATTTGTTTTTTTCTTAATAATTTTTCAGTAATATTAAAAATCATAAAAAATATAAAAAAAATTATCTTCATTTTAATTTAGTTTATTTTATTTTTTCTCACCAAAAAAATATTTTTATTAACTATACTTTATTTATTTTTTACAAATCACCTTGTAAATTTAATTAAAACTAGGTTAATATTTATTTTTCTTTTACACCTATTAAAATATATTATTTTTTATATAAAAAAGACTAAAAATATTTCATGATGCCATAAATATTTTCAAGACAAAAATACCAAAAAATACTTTTTTTATAAACTTATTTTCTTTTAATCAACTAAATAGAATTAGGGTTTTATTCAAAAATCTTTTCTTAATAAATTTAAACTTAATTAATTATTTTCTTTAAATTAATTAGGTTAAAACAATTTCCCTCTTTCTAAATAAAAAATCGAAACAAAAAGATCTATTTTCTTTGCATTTACATTCTTGCATATTATTTTTGTACATTTATTTATTTCAATTATTGTATAAATTCAATATTGTTGTAATAGACTAATTAGGCTTTAAATTCTTGCAATCCCCATTCAATTTGTACACCCCCTTCCCACAAATCATGTAATAGCTTAGTATTTTTATTTTCCGCAATTTAAATGCTTTATATTCACATGCTAGTAATTAGGGTTTGTATGGAAAGAACAAAATCAATCAAATAGAAAATCCTAATTCAAGACAAAATCAAGCATGAAAATAATACACTTGCACACAAGAACCCTTAGGGCTATCCCACTTGGTTTCCTTATACAAAATGGCCATATTACGCATGTAAGGTATCTTAGCAAAAACAAGCAAATACAAGATCATAGTCCCTCGATGACGATATCTAAGTTGCCCTACAAATGATCTTAGTCCCTCAAAAAGAATGCTAAGATACCTTGGAACATTGCTAATCATAGTCATACGATGAGCCACGCCCATTTCATTTACATCCAAAGATAGGGTTGCTTACCAAATCAATGGTAAGGCAACAATGTCAAAGGAAAAGGAAATGAACAAGAAAGACATTTGAGTAGGTAGACTGCTCCTAATTACTTGCTCCATTTCGAAAAAAACATCCTTTCTATTTTCAAAACAATCACATACACTTTCAAACATCTTACAAAATTGAAAACATTTTCAAAAGATCAAACATCGTTGTTTACATTCTTACAAACAAGAATCATTACAAAGATCGCCTAAACAATGGCCTCTTTACAAAATACTTTCAAAAACCACACAAAGCACAATTTCAAACAAAAGCAAGTGATCTAGAAAGTAACTAAGAGCCCATGGAAAACCATGGATGAAAGGTGTTCTAATACCTTCCCTTTCCGTAATCTACCCCCCGAACTCAAGAAACAATGTCAAAGGTCTTTCATGTGCTTTTCCACCTTTCCTTTTGGATAAAAGAAAGTTCAGTGGCGACCCTTGCTAACTGCAACATTTGCGATCAAACACAAAACCTTCAAGTCCGTTCTCCCACCGTATCACGGTTACCATGCGAAGTTTGGCATTGGTTTAAGTTTAAGGGAATTACCTAGTGTTATCATACAATTAAAAGGAAAACTATATCTTAAAATTTATCATGCTTAGGTTTCAAACCTTATATCTAATTCAACATTAAAACAATCCAAACAAAGTTTAATCGTATAATGGAATTCTTAAGATGACATGTTATTAAGAATCAATCAATCAACCTAAAATAAAAGAAAATACAATTCTAACATTTTGGGGTTTTTCGGGTTAAAGACATATTAAATTCAAAAGGGAATTAAAACCTAAATCTAAAATATTCTAATATTTTTAATTCTTTTGTGTAAAGAAAAATGTAATTAAGATAAGATTAAATTCTAGTTATTTATTTAAAGAGGAAATTAAAATAGGCAAACATGGATAAAATTTAGAAGCTTGAACAAAGCGAATGAAAAGAAGGTAAAAAAGGGTCCCTATGGGTATTGAACCCGGGAACATTGGTTTGCATATCTAAATCCTTACCACTGCTTATGCTTCCTCATTCATTATTGTTATAGTTCAAAAACAATAAAAAGTAAACAAAATAAAAAATTGGACCCAACTGAAAATAATCCAACAAGCAACTTTTTGTTTCACAAGCTCAGCATATTAAAAAAAATTCATGGGCCTAAGGAGCTGGTTCAGCCCAGACCCACCAACAACAACATTTTTTTAGACTTTTTTGTATTTTGTTATAATCATATTTATTGATTAAAAAAACAAATTAAAAGAAAGAATAGGAAAGGAATTAGGGTTCAATCTTGTCTTCTTCTTCTCACTTTCATACAAAACTGCGTCGTTAAGCCCCTTGTCTCCGACTTCGACTTGGCTCCACTGTAACTCAGCCTTCCGCCTCTGATCTATCTGATTCCCAACTTTTACACCATCACCCCTCTCGCGATAAACAAACAACAACAGTGACTCTCAACCTCACATCTCGGACACATGTGCGGTGAAAAGGGTGTAAGCGCAAGCAGGCGACCAAAGCCCTAAATCTCGATCGAAACCCCCAATTCCCTCATTCATTGACATTCTCGGATCATTGCCAAGTGCACATGGAGAGAAGATACAATAATGAAACAAGAGTAAAGAGTAATTCGACGATAGAGGTATGTTACAAACCTGGTTTTTCTTTCTTCTATTTTGCTTCACTTTGTGCGAAATTGGTCATTGTTATGGTTGTTATGCGCCGAGTTTCCGTTTGTTGTTGCGGTGTTGTTTCTTTGAGTTGCGCTTTGAATTGTGATTTGTGAATAGGTTGAGGGTTGTTAAGTAAGAAGGATTTGGTTTAGTTGGACAGAGTGAAGATAAGGGTATTAATGGTACGGTTGATACGATTTTGGTTGTGTGTCTATGAGAGATTAATGGAGGTGTAGAATGGTTTGCAATGGTTGACCAGGGTGGTATGGTGTATTTGCAGAGGGGAAATTTGTGATGAAAGGAATGAGTGTATGAGTGAGGTTTATGTTTATAGATGGTGAGGTTAATTATGCAGATTTTTTGTGAATAATGAAAGGGGTATGTATGCAGTGGGATGGATTTGAGATAGTGTAGAGGTGTAGAAGGTTTGATATAGTTTTGACAGAGGTTTTTTATAGTAGAAATTATGTAAGGTGATTTATATGTAAGAGCAGAGGTTGGAAAGTGTATTGGGTCAATGAAACAATGGTTTTTGGAGAGATGTGGACAAAAATATGGTATGAAATTGGTGGTGTAGGGTAGAGGTTTTTTTATGCTTATCAGGTGTATTCTTCTCTGTCTTGTGTTGTTGGTTTTTATAGTGAATGAGAGTGGGGTTTTGGGGGGAAATGGGATTATATTAGAACTGTTTTAGCATATTGTTTCTTGTTTTCTCTATGCAATAATGGTTTGATACATGTTTTTTGCAATTCTTTGATGCAGGTCTAGTTTTACAAGTTTTTTGGACAGATATGTACAGGTTATGCAGGGCTGGGTTTGGATTGTTGTGGGCAGCATATGACTTCTTTGAAAGTATGGCATTTGAACAGGTTTTGGATAGTATTGCAAGTTGATTTCGTAGGGCTATTTTTGTCTGGTTTTTACTTTTTTTAATAGCATGTTTTATGGAAGGTTGGGCAAAGGGTGTAACAGGTTTTGGTTTATGTTGAGAGCAGGTACGTATAGGAGCAACAAGGCTGGTTTTGGATCTACCAGAGTTTGGAAGGGTTTGGCATGTCCTTAGGGTTCAAGGTTTGAAGTAAGGCAAATGGAGAAGGTCTGAAGAACAAGATTGAATTGAAGCTTTAGGATAGGTGACTCATAAATCAATAGGATTGGTTAAGAACTTCCTATTTTTCTTATTCTCATGTAATTATTGTAGTATCTCTTGTAATCTTGTAATAACTTACATATTAACAACAACTTGTACAAATCTCGATGTTTGATGAAATTTTCCTTCTCTGAACCTGTGTCCCTTTTCTTTATTTCAATTAAGGGCCTCTTTGGAATAATACTTGATCATAAGTGTATCATGAACACCATCGAATCTTTGAGGTTCTAGATCAAAATGTAACAGGGCCACCGTATATGTCTTGATTGTAATCTTCTCACATGATAGATTTTGTGCCAACCTTGTAATTTTGTAACGAATGATGATTCCAAAGAATGAAATAGTGCGAAGATACTTGGAACTCGAAAATGAATCTTGATGAATTCTCATGCTTGTAATCGAATGAACATTGATGGAATATGATAAATATAGCCATGAATGAAATTTGACAAGATTCCTATACAACTATCATTCTTGAATTCCAATCTTGCTTTCTTCAAAGTTAAAAGTTTATTTCTTCCAATCTTTTGTAAACTTACACTATTGGTCATCGTCACCAATGATAAAAAGATATAATTAAACTTGAAATTTTGCCTAAAACTTCATAGTCATTGAATCCAAATCGAACACTTATATGCCATGCTTGATTAATAAAACCTAATCTTATGATTGAATCTCATGCTACGATACCTTGCAAACCAAACCTCAACTAATTTAAAGAATATGCCAAAGAAAACCTAATTTGCACGCTTCTTGAAGCCTCTTGATGAAATTGATATTGAGATATTGAAGAAAAAAAACCCAAGCCCTAGCTCATGCTCGATGATTTCTCAAGAAGAAACTTAGTAGGAGTACAATAGCTGAAAACCCTAGTCTTCGATCTAGCATAAGGAAGTAAACCCTAAATAAGATCCTGAAGCCAACCTTGATGTTGAGAAAAGGAGAATGACCTTTGTATCTTGAAAAGAAAGAAATTCATAATAATCAAGTTTCCAAATACTAATTTGCAACCCACTAGTCAAAGAAGAACTAGGGGAATCAGACTTGTTGATGTAGGAACCTCGAACCAAAATTAAACCACATATGGCACAACCATTAATGCTTTGAACCAATGGTTTCTTGAATGAAGGAATGATATGCAAATGACCTAGCGAAAATGATGAAAATGAAATGCAAAGCCTAAGTCAGATAAAAATGAAAAGGTAGGATAAATTTGGGGTATGACAACTACCCCTATTTAATCTTCTTAAACCTGAAAGTGAGATTGACGTCAGCCTTTTGATTATTTAAGGTAGAAGAAGAATAAATACCAAGACTTGAAATTTGTCCTGGAGAGATGGTGTAACTGTTATTATTTGTGGTGTCTGTTGGGGATAGAAAATTCATTTTCTGGTGAACTGGTTATGATGTATAAATGTGGTTGAGTAGTGATAGCTTGTAATGGGGTAACCGTTCCAATACAAGGTTCTCAGGGAAGTGGGTGTTATAGTGATTGAAAAGATTTGGTGTGATGATGATGTGGTGACTAAAAGTAGGATTAATGACAACATAATAATTTACAAGAAATGGGTAAAATCGACGACATCGAAGAATCTATCGTATAGGATTCAGGACCCAAAAAGAAAGGTAAAGACGACTGGTAGAATCGACGACAGTGGAGAATATATCGTGTAGGATTCACAACCCAAAAAGAAAGGTAAATATAATGGTTAAAATTGACGACAGAGAGAATCTATCGTGTAGGATTCGCGACCCAAAAAGAAAGGTAAAGACAACGGGTAGAATCGACGATAGTGGAGAATCTATCGTGTAGGATTCACAACCCAAAAATAAAGGTAAAGGCATTAGGTAAAGTCGACGTCAGTGAAGAATCTATCGTGTAGGATTCATGACCCAAAAAGAAAGGTAAAGACAACGGTTAAAATCCATGATAGCAAAGAATCTATCATGTAGGATTCAGGAACCAAGGAAGGACATCGAGAGGGGAGGTATCAGGATAACTCGCGACCAAAGCAAGACGACAAGAGAGGGTAGGATCTCAGGATGATTTGAGATCCATGGAAGAATATCAAGAGGGGAGGTATCAAGACAACCTGCGACCCACACAAGATGACAAGAGATGGTAGGATCTTAAGACAACTCGCGACCCAAGAAAAGATATCATGAGGCTAAGATCTATGTATGATCTGTGACTAAAGATAAGAAAACATGAGGGTAAGATCTATGGACGATCTGCGACCCAAGAAAATATAACATGAGGGTAGGATCATTGGACGATCTGCGACCCAAGAAAAGATAACATGAGGGTAAGATCTGTGGACAATCTGCAACCCCAGAAAAGATAACATGAGGGTAAGATTTGTGGATGATCTGCGACCCCAGAAAAGATTGACAAATGATATTGAGAGTTGGGAGTACAATGTACTGGCACTATGGCTATTTTGATTTATAGTGTAATGATGGATGTCAACTAGGAATTGTGAGGAGGGCATTCTCTTTGGGGATGTTTTACTGTTTTGAGGATCGATTTGGGCTTTCATGCAAGGTATCAAATATGGCTTATGCCCCGTATGCATTTTGAAGTGTATGGATTAATGATCCATTTCAATGGATATGATACGCATTTGAGGTTCTACGGTTAGTTAGTGCTTTATGACACCACACGGCAGCCCGGAATTCTCCTTGACTGACTCAAGGGAAATCAGCACCAACTAATGTGTAACACTAATGTAGCCATCACTTCAACCATATCGCTATATGCCGTATAGTTTCCATGATCTATTTCTACTTGCCTAACATGTCCCAAGATCAGGGTATATGATCTTTACAAAAATAAACCCTAGCAAAAACCCAGAAATATAAAGTGTTGTACCCAAAAATTTTCCCTCCCACTTTCTTCAAGACATTCTCATGAGGTCTCCATTTGCTCAAGGATTCTAAAGAGTTGATCAGACAAAATCACTTCCTAAGCAAGGGTCTTCAACTAGGGTTTGGTGTTTCTCAAAGAAGATTAGTCTGCAAGGGTCTCAAAATACTTTCACGGTTCATCACATGGCTTTAAGAATTCTCATACCAAGTTGCATGCCTTGCATCACAAATTTGCTCAGTCAATTGCTCAGAGACTGAAAATTAGTTGTATTGGGTAAAAAGTCAATTGTGGTCAACATACAGTCAAACTTCAAGATTTTTAGTCAACATCAACATTTTGAAGTCATATTCATCATTTGATCAAGGGTTGATCATAATTCCTCAAGAAAATCCCTCAGATCACCAAAAGGGGCAAAATTATCAAAATTAGGGTTTTGATTGAGAATGACTGATCATTGACTTTTGACCTAGTACATGACCTAATGACTTTAAGAATGATTTCAAGGGCTCAAATATAATATCTTGACCTGATTATATGGTTCAAAACATTTTTAAAGATCAAGTGATTGATAGTTGAAATTTGAATTAATTGATAAAAAGTCAACAGGCACACAAAAAGTCAAACTTTGACTTTCTGGTAAACATTGAACTTCAAAGATCAAGAATCATCAAAACATTCAAAAAATATCAAATTTGATCATCAAGAATTAATAAAAGTCAACAAAAGTCAAAGATATAAAATTTTCCGACACTTAGAAAATGTTCTAAGTGTTAGTGATTTATTCTTAACATAGTCACTACGTCATGGATACTTTTTACCAAGATGAAAGATGATTCAAGGAAAAATTTTAACGTGAAATTGTAGGAAATGAGGAATTCTACAACTTTGTCCTTGAGGTTTTATGTCCAAAAAATTCTTGTATTAGGAGATATAAGTCCATGAAGTCATGATGTTTTTATCTAACACTTAGCGAATTTTTTTAACAAGTCTTGATCAGATTTTTGTCCCAACTTCATGGATATTTTTCACCAAATTCCAATTTTATTTAGTAAAAACTCACAACATGAAAGTTGTATACAATTATTCTAGCTTTCCAAAATTTCTAGGAACACAATTTTATCATGCTTGAGCAAGGAGATCCGAAGGCCTAAAGTTAGGCATCCATTCTTGAAATACAAGGCATTTTGTAATGAACATAATATAAAATCCCTAAGCCATGCTGAATAATCTTGCTTTACAGGATTCTAACTTGCAAATCTCTCCATAATTAAATGTTTACACAAACATTTGAGCTATTATCCACTTGATTCAAGCTTTGTCCAAGACAATTTTCCATTAATGGAAAAAAGGCACCATTGCCATTTACATAAAGAAAGTTTTTTGCAAAATTCAATGCATTGAGCTTCTCACTTGTTTCTTCTGATCACACTCAACCTACAAAGTCAAAAGCAACATGTTTAAAGTGTTCAACCACTCTAGAAGGCATGGTACAAGACATTGGAACCATGTTCTTCAAAGTTGCTTCATAACTAAGTAACCTAGCCATAACATGTGATCTTGTAAACCAAACCCTCTCATCCTCTAAAAACTTTTCTATATAAATTGAGATGTCATTTTCAAGACAACACACGAATTCATAGCCCTCAAAACACCCTCATACTCTCTCAAATCAGAATTAGCATCAAAACTCCATTTGTTGCAACTTCTTACCTTGAACACCAAACACTCAATCCACTCATGAGTTTTCACTCTAAATAATTTACAAAGCTTATATAACTCATATAGAACTCATCCAAAGACTTGTTTCATCACTGTAACACCATATTATTCATCTTCCAAGCTCAAAAATAGAGCTCTACAACTTGACTTGTCCAGAAGAATTGAGGCGCTCTCAATCCAAGGTAAGCATTGCAAAAGCTTCCTTGGAGTTCAGTGAAGCTACCCAGATTATCTCAACACCTCCAGTAGTGCTTTAACTCCAAACTTCATTCTCACTTCAGAGGTAAGTTTCCCTAACTTTGAAATCTTTATTCAAGCATCATTTGCACTTACTTTCTAAAGAAAAAAATGTAGATATCATGTCTATGAATCTAACCATGCCTTTAGTTTTCTTTTATATTGCTTGTGTGTTGGGAATTTGATCTCTGACTAGTTAGGTCATATTTTTCGTACCAAACAAAATTCATCTTAGTCTTTGATCTTTAGCTTTTGAAAGTTATATGGTTGAATTCGTGGTGAAAAATAAAGCAAGTTTCATGTTTACATTTTTTAAAATGTCTGAGAAATGAAGGAGTTACATAATAAAAAATGGAGTTATTGTTCTTAGCGCGCGCGAGGAAGAAGAAGAAGACTTATTCAAACTTTCAGAAACAAGTTTATAATATATTGAATGATTCGCGTGTAAACTACCCGATGTAACAGTCATCCCTAGTGGCAAGAAGCGTGCGTTTCATGTCACTTTAGCCATAGGGACCTGGGTTCGAGCCCCAATCGTACCCTTTTATTTTTCTAACATTTTCTCTTCAGATCCAGTATGACTCAAGTCACATGCGCTCATCATGCGCCTTATGCTACAGCCATCCGAT